AAGCATTAGTGATCACAATTTCAGGCTTTTCCTAAAATGCTTTTGTCATCAGTCTGTTGTCCCAATTGTTTGGTCACCGGACTTAACATTTCTGCGGGAACCATATTTCAAAAGGGTCTTTTACCGATAATTGGCATCATTAGCAAACGATTTAAAACAAGATGCATGTTTCCCTTTTTTGGTTACAACACTGCTACTAAACGAAATTTGCATGTTTTTTTCTTTGGCTACAACACTGCTACTAAACGAACCTTGCATGTTTTTTTTGGGTACAACACTGCCATAAACGAACCATCGATGTCTTTTTTTTTGTTACAAAACAGCTGCTAAACGAACTTTGCATGTTGTTTTGGTTACAACACTAAAGTACCATAAACGAACCTTGCATGTTTTTTTTTTTTGGTTACAACACTGCTGCTAAGTGAGTCTCACCTGGTGTTGAGGCTACAACACTTCTACCTGGAGTGGATGTCATTTGGGTGGGTGTAGTAGACATTTCTGTCATCATAGTGCTTGAAGATTCATCTAAAGTTAGGGATAGACTACGTGTAAGAAATCTTAAAATGACAAGAACACCTTCATTCGAAATACCTAGACTTTGCAGAATTTTGATTGGTGCATGGAACTTAAAACAGAAGTAGATATTAGTAGGCATTAGATGTTTTACTATTGTTTTGCATTCATTATTTTTTTGTTGTTGTGCATTTATAGTGTTTATCTCGACTGTAGATCAAGTTTTTATTTTTAATACAACGTAAACACTGCTGCTAAACAAACCTTGCATGTTTTTTTTTGTATTAAAACGCGGGTGCTAAATGAACTTTGCATGTTTTTTGGTTACAACTTTGCTACTAAACGAACCTTACATGCTTTTTTGGTAACAACACTGCAACTAAACGAACCTCGAATCATCATAGCGCTTTCGTTTTTGGTCTCAACATTGCTACTAAAAGAAACCTTACATTTTTTTTTTTTGAGTTACAACACTGCTACTAAGTGAGTCTCACCTGGTGTTGAAGCTACAACACTGCTACTTGGAGTGGATGTCATTTGGGTGGGTGTAGTAGACATTTCTGTCATCATAGTGCTTGAAGATTCATCTAAAGTAAGGGATAGATTACATGTAAGAAATCTTAAAATGACAAGAACACCTTCATTCGAAATACCTAGACTTTGCAGAATTTTGATTGGTGCATGGAACTTAAAACAGAAGTAGATATTAGTAGGTATTAGGTGTTTTGGTATTGTTTTGCATTCATTGTTTTTTTTGTGTTTGTTTTGTTTTGCATTTATAGTGTTTATCTCGACTGTAGATCCAGCTTTTATTTACAGCGTAAACATTGCTACTAAACGAACCTTGTATGTTTTTTGGTTATAACACTGCTATTAAACAAACCTTGCATGTTCTTTTTCTATTAAAACACGGTTACGAAATGAACCTTGCGTGTTTTTTGGTTACAACTTTGCTACTAAACGAACCTTACATGTTTTTTGGTAAAAACACTGCTACTAAACGAATCTTGCATGTTTTTGTTTTTGGTTACAACACGCAGTGCTACTAAACAAACCTTGAATCATCATAGCGCTTTTTTTTTTTTGGTTTCAACATTGCTACTAAACGAAACGTTGCATCGTTTGTTTTTTTTGTGACAACACTGCTATTAAGTGAGTCTCACCTGGTGTTGAGGCTACAACACTGCTACCTGGAGTGGATGTCATTTGGGTGGGTGTAGCAGACATTTCTGTCATCATAGTGCTTGAAGACTCATCTAAAGTTAGGGATAGATTACATGTAAGAAATCTTAAAATTACAAGAACACCTTAATTCGAAATACCTAGACTTGTAGACTTGCAGAATTTTGATTGGTGCAGGGACCTTAAAACAGAAGTAGGTATTAGTAGGTATTTGGTGTTTTGCTATTGTTTTGCATTCATTGTTTTTTTGTTTTGTTTTGCATTTATAGTGTTTATCTCGACTGTAGATCCAGTTTTTATTTACAACAGTGCTACTAAACAAACCTTGCATGTTTTTTCCTATTACAACACGAGTACTAAATGAACTTTGCATATTGTTTTTGGTTACAAGTTTGCTACTAAACGAACCTTACATGTTTTTTTGGTAACAACGTTGCTACTAAACGAGCCTTGCATGTTTTTGTTTTTGGTTACAACACGCAGCACTACTAAACAAACCTTGCATCATCATAGCGCTTTATTTTGGTTTCAAAATTGCTACTAAACGAAACCTTGTATTTTTTTTTTTGAGTTACAACACTGCTACTAAGTGAGTCTCACCTGGTGCTGAGGCTACAGCACTGCTACTTGGAGTGGATGTCATTTGGGTGGGTGTAGTAGACATTTCCGTCATCATAGTGCATGAAGATTCATCTAAAGTTAGGGATAGATTACATGTAAGAAATCTTAAAGAACACCTTCCCGCCTCGAAATACCAAGACTTTGCAGAATTTTGATTGGCGCATGGAACTTAAAACAGAAGTAAGTATTAGTAGGTATTATTAGGTGTTTTGGTATTGTTTTGCATTCATTTTTTTTCTTTTTTGCATTCAGGGTGTTCATCTCGACTGCAGAGCCAGTTTTTAACATCATGGAAAACTATGGCTGTGAACAAATTTTAAGTTCATTTGCAGTGCAACATATCGATGGAAGAAATTAAGGTGTCTACGTAACAAATAGATTCCATGTTGCCGTGCGTCTGTTCAATAATAGATCACAGATGACGTCAAATTGTGGTAAGAACAAATAAGTGGCACACGAGGCGATAGCCGAGTGTGTCACTGATGTTCTTACCATATTTTGACGTCTTCTGTGACCTATTACGTTATTTTATTTTATCAACTTTTGATAAGCATGATAAGACACAACTTTTGGCAAAGTCCAAAAAATTTCTGTAGATAGGGTTCAGAGCCAACTTAAATTTTCGAAAATTTAAGGTGGCTCTGAACCTTACCTACAGAATTTTTTTAAACTCTGCCAAAAGTTGCATCTTATCATGCTCATCAAAAGTTGATAATATAAAAAAAATTTCACCGTGACGTTTTTGAATTATAAGCCCCTAAAGCTGTAATTAAGCGTGTTTTTAGGAGGTCACACTGTTGTTATGACAACCTATTGTGTCACGAAGATGATAACAACCTGTTTTCCAATGATTGGGCAAATGTTTGATACCATGATTGTAGCATCAAGTGATAAAGAGTGGATATAATTACCCATCAAAATCTAAGTGGGTGAAACTGTTTTGAGCCACCTTAAATGGCTTTCGATGCCAGGAAAGGTTTGCAATGAGAGCTCTTTCTGAATTTTATTGTCTTTAAATCGCTAGAAAATTCTCTCTAAAATTCCCGCTATACATTACCAACCTCGAAAGGTTGAT